GCCGTTCCCTACCAGGACATTGTGCTTCCCATGCATTTTGAAGAGACGCTAGAGCAATCTCTTGGCAACCCTACTTTCAGATCATGGCAGCCTAGCAAAAAAGCAAGTAACATGAGCTATAGAGTTGATCCATCTGATCTGGATGTTTTCGCTAAAATTTGTGCAGTGGACAGAGTGATTACACCCACTAAACTGTTCTGCTGTTTTGAAGGCCCTCAAAATATGGATACTGAGCAACCCAAGAGCATGTCCTTAAACCTTCCTGCATCTGGAAAAGGACACATATTAGGAGAGTAAATGCTGCTACCTGTGACGTGAGAGGAGCTGGCATCCTTGCTCTCTCGGTGGGTAGTACGTGCGATTGCTTCATCCATCTCCTGCTCAGAAACCTAAAGTTCAGTGCAAGAGAGAGATCAAACTGGGTAGATGAAATGAAGAAGAAAGTCTGACCATGTATGACTACAAATACATGATTCATTTCAGATATGTTACTATTTTTAAAGATGCAATAAAGAAGACCTAGTTGAGAGCTCCTAAGTCCTGGTCCCCTGATTCAGACTCCTTCAATGCCACTCTGCTGCAGAACCCAGGGGGCAGAAGCCTGCTGACTTCATGAAGACCACATCCCAGTGCCACATTACACAAACAAATAAAAGAGCACCAGACATAAGGAAATCAAATGAAGCCATTACAGCACAATTTTAACTCAATTAAGTGCTGTACATTGATTAATCAAGAAAATACTACTTTAAAATAGACAAAGACTGCTTTGTACAAGCATATATCAGCAACAGAAGATATTCTACACTTAACCTACCGGAAGAATACCAGACTTGCCGAGATATTAGCTGTCTTTAATTTTCATTTTTCCTTGCTTTTAAAAAGAAAACCTAAATCAGTAATTGGTAATTAGTGTTTCTCTGGTTTAAGAATAAATACTGGTTTATCATATTTGCTAATTTTGCTCTAAATTACTGCCATGCACTTAGTTCTTATTACTAGAAAACTCCATATAATTTTCTAACAGGAACAACTAGTCTGCGTGAATATATATTTAAAAACAGAAAGCAAGCTAATTCTGTCAAAAATAATTTCTACACACATTGCTTTACATGAATTAAAATTCAGCATAAATAGACACTAGAAACTTAAATCTTTCTGAACCATGAAGATTTGAAAGATTCCTAAGCAAACTCAGCAGTTTAAACATAGTTTAAATGCCACATTCACTCAGAATAACAAGAAGAAAGAAAATGTTGTGGTGTTTCTCTTGGAAGTAGATGAAAACATCGAAGTGAACATATTCAGCAACAAAATGTACTATGGACCTTTTGTGTCATAAAATGAGACATTAAATATAAAAATGTCCAAAAAAACATGAGCCTTTGTAGAAATACAGCTCTGTCTTCAGCCTGTGGCATGACCTTACAGGAAACCAAAAGCCTCTGACTGCTGGGGCACAGGGAGTTCCTACAGGACATGGACCAAGCCCTAAGAGTGTGCTCCAGGACCTTTGCATAAACCTTTGGGTACAAGATGTCCCAAGAGGAAAACTAGGTGCTGGGCAGACTGCAATATTTGTTTAAAAATAATAAAAAAATCCACACTTCTGCAAGCTCTGCCAATTTTGATTTTTAGCATCCTCTATGCCTCAGACAGATCAAACTGGAGAGGGACAGGCTAATTCCTAACTAAAATCTGCAGGCTGGGGTATATTACAAAACAAAACATTGCACACACTTCTGTAGATCCCCCAGTGCTGTCAGAAGCAGTGTGACAGTGAGATAACAATAAATAAGGATCAGCATATGGACACTCCTTTAGAGATCTAACTATGAGGGACTCTGGATTCAATACTGCCTGGAGAAAAAAAAAAAAGGCTTTAGGGTCTCTCTGGCTCAACTTTTAGCTTTTCTTAGCATTTCTTGGCAAAGGATTTGTTGTCATTTTAAATACCACTTATGGAAAACTGTAACAGGAGCCACTTAATAGTTTCCCTCTGTTACTGAGTAATAGAAAGCAATTAGCTTAACTTAGTTCATCTTCTCAGCAGATATCTGGTTAGGTCACTCATTGGCTTTCAAGCTACCAGCACAGCAAGCTGAAGGATGGAGAAGAGAGGGCAGGCTCCACTCCATGGAGTTTTTATTTCACGCTACTTACAGACTCTCCAAAAAGTCCACACACCTTAATAACGCAATCAAATCAAACCATCATGCTGGTTCAGCACAGCATACAGACTCCCTAGAAATACTGTTATCTTAGGCTATAAGCCCAATTCTTACCTCTTCCATGCTTACCTTTAACTAACGGAACCACAGCCTCTTTCCTTTTAGCAGCACAAGACCTCAGAGCAATGATAATAAACTCTGGGCAGTAGATCCCTATTTGTCTGTTGTTTGTATATTTGATTTAGCAGAAAATATGCAATTAATTATAAAATAAGAAACCTGAGTTCTCCTAAATATGGATTTATTAAGGCCTCCATTTGTAGTTACAAGTTCAAAAGTCTGAGCTCTCTGGGCCCACTAATGCAAATATTTTTACAGCTTCATTCCTGTTTAAACAGGAAGGTTTCGTACACTCATGAAATTCTTTGAAATATTGAAATAAAAGAAGTTGTTATTCCATATAGCTTGGTTAAAAGGCTTTTATCTTCTATCATCAATTTTTAAAAACTGCTTGAAAATACTCACTTTGTAAACACAGCCTTATTTCCAAATTATCCTTGCACAGATTTCACAGTAGCAGTACATTCCAGATTCTCATGTTTTAATTCCTGACTGAAAACTTTGATCTTAGATTTTACTTTTTAAAAAACATTATTCCTACTACTTTATTATAGTTGATCAGTTCAATCTGCTGATATTTATATTCCTGGCCCTAAATTATACTCTACTCAAAGACAAACTAACTCCAAAATAACTTTAAGGAGAAAGAGAACTTGTGCCACATTTGTGTTGCCACTTGGTTCAAGTACCAAGAAAGATGGGAACACTTCACTCAAGCATTTCCAGGAAAATTGCATTTGATCAGTGGGTGACTAAGTGAAAAGCAGCAGGGACAGTCCAGCATTGCTACAACTTATAAAACTGGAAGGCATCATTACAATTCTGACTTCTTACACAACACACGCCACAGAAAGAAAAATCCAATATTCTTTATTTGCTGCTTTCCTGACAGCAAGACTCAAATTACAGCGCCAGATGAAAACACGTCCAGACATACTAACACATTTTCTCCTCACCTTTGGGTTAGGATGCCGACTAATGATAAGGCTGACTGGACCTGGACCACATTCGCTCAGGATGGCATAGGCTTCACTTAATGCTGCGTGACGTAGACTCACCGAATCTGCCTCCAGGATCTGGTCACCCCGACTGCAAAGAGACACAGAGCCAGTTAATCAGAACCGACTTTTACAAAAACATTTGTGCTTTCAACTGATGGCCAAGCTTTTTCAAAGATACAAGTGTCTGGAAAAAATCTGACTTGCAAAGAAGCCAGTCTTCCTCTTGCTCCTAGTGACGTGAATGCTTTAAGTCCTGTTGACTTCGGGAGGGAGATCCAGAAATCCCTTCTGCACTTATCATCAGTGCTACAAACCCTATTATATCAATAGAGAAAACTGGCTGCATTTGGACCAGAGTGAAAGCAAACTTCCAATTCCAGTTCTGCATTGAGATACTTGTTGAACACAGAAAAGGAAAAATTAGATTCAGATGGGCTGTTCCTTCCCATCATATTGAATTACTTAACACACACACACTGATAAGAAATTCATTATCTACATATGAGTTTATGAAATGGCTCCAGGAAAAAATTGAGCACCATAAGCCTGTATTTGCTTCAAATTATCATATAGAAGCCATTAGAAAGAAAAAAGGGGAAAAAAAACACCTAACAAAACTCTTCTGAGAGGAATGCATAGGTTGTTTAGTTTTGTTTTTCCAATTTCTTAACTCTTGCACATGGTGCACAGACATCTGAAACTATTCAAAAGAAAAGATCATCAACTAGGGATAGCATTAAAGCATTCTCCATAATTACTAAAGCATTTGCTTTAAACAGACACTCTCAAACAAGCTACTACTTCTGATTTGCATTGGGTTACTTGTGACAATGGAAATGAGTTTGCATTGTGAATCCACACACCAAAGGCGAAGTGACAACTGCACATGGTAGCCTTCAGAAACCTGTACTTCTGGTACAGGCTTATGAAAGCAAAGGGTGACCTATCAGTTGTGTAACCATGCCACTGCTCTGCCTATCCTTTACACAGCTATTAGAAACTACACAAACCGAGTTGTTTACACAGGCACATGATTGAGAGGGGGAGCTCAGATACAGAGGAGCTGGATTCAGACCCCTTCTGGTATTGCAAAGCCAGTATTTGATTAACGAAGTTTTCCAAAAATCAGAACCGTCCTGTAAGTTTTGGCTTATGGAGCCATAAACCGCTGATGGGACAACAGAAGCAATGTCTCAAAGAAGCAAGCTAGAAATCTGGGAAGCATGCCTGGATATAATCAATCACTTAAACCTAATAAACGATACAGCTGTTACATACAGACGCAACCAGCACTGCAATCTTTCCAAAGAGGCTTACAAGAAAGCAAGTTAGCATTAAATACTGTCTCCTATAGACATTTCCACATGGTAGGAACTTTTAACGGTTTTGGCAGCGATGCCACCATAAAACTATCTTCCTCCCTTATTCCAAAAAAATGAAATTGCTCTATCACAGCTTTCCTGGTGAGCAAGGGAACAGAGGGCACTCTCTATCCATGTGAAAGCAAGGCATTTGCTCAGCCTCTCTGCACCAGCACTCATGCTACATGTTCAGTGCGGATCACACAGACCCAGCAGGTCTTCAGCACAGCCTCCCCTCCCAAGCGATGGTCCCAGCACCCATAGGAATGCAGAAAGGTGGAAGATTTTCTCCAATGGTTTTTAAAAATGAGGCCTCCCAGGGAGGAACAGCAAATAACTTTCTGTCACTTAATCCAATATAAAGCACAAGGGAACCCTAGGAATGATTGCCTCTCTCTCTTACAGTTCCTTAAAGACATCCAAACTGCATGACAGAGTAAATGAAGATGGGCAGGTCAGCCTGCCAGACAGACAGTAAGGGCAGACAAGTGCAGCTGCAGGCATGGGCACAGTCATCTGCAAGAACATCTCCCCCAGCTCTTTTTAAGAGAGTTTCAGGTGACTGAGCTTTTAGCAGAGCTCTGTAAATTTCCTCTCAATCTGGGGTCTCTGGCTGCAGCTCTGATAAAAATACATGAGGCTGCACTTCTTGCTGTTCCCCTTTCTCAAAGGGTGCTATTAGGCTCAGCTTTCTGTATAGAGAATTAAAAAAACCCCACAAACCTTAATGATCATGCTGCTTCCAGCACACAGAATAATGTTTCCTGGGTATGTAATATCACTTTGGAATGTCTTTATTTAAATGCTTTCTTTCTGGTGAACTCTTAAGTATAAATCCCCTCCCTGCTACATCAACCAGTTGGTGAAAACAAAGTCTCAATCGATTTTATTGTAAAACCACTCCAGCATGTTTCTGCTTTAACGAACCTTAACCTGCCATCCATTTTAGCCACTGATCCTGGGGCCAAGCTGTGAATGTATATCCCTGGAGAACTGTTTTCCAGCGTGAGGCAGCAGGCACCAATGCCGAGCCCAACCCCTGGCTCTGTGAAAAACAAGAAGTACAAAGAAAAGTACTGTTATTCCCTGTAGATTGTAATCACACAGGACACATGAGTGTTTGTGTTCCCACATCCCATCTGAAACCAAGACTCATGTATTGTTTCAGGGCTGGCCTTAGGTGCAGTCAGTCAGGAAGCCAAGACCAACAGTGGAAATCAGGATTGAAAATATCTGATCCTGACCGTTTTCTGAGATCCATCATTGAGAGGACTAGCTCCACTCCCAGAAAATTTTCTGTGTACCGTGGGAACCTCCTGGAAATGTCACACATGGTCTGACCTGGCCCGAGGCACAAAACAGGGGGAAAGCAATCCAATAAAGATGCCACTTAAAATTATTGAGGAAAATGTGAGCACAGAAGATGCTGACAATTGTACGGCTCTCTTTGTTATTGCATTCCTCAGCAAAGAGGCATGAAGAAAGGTGAAACGTTATCTCTCGTTCAATGGCTGCCTCTGTCCACTTTCACCTTTGCTTTCCTTCAGGAAACAGCATTCCTAAAGTAGGAATTGCTGGACATCTTACCTTGTTTTCAGTTTTGGGCCCCTCACTCCAAGAAGGATGCTGAGGTGCTGGAGCGTGTCCAGAGAAGGGCAACGAAGCTGGTGAGGGGGCTGGAGCACAAGTCTTATGAGGAGGGGCTGAGGGAACTGGGGTTGTTCAGTCTGGAGAAGAGGAGGCTGAGAGGAGACCTTATCGCTCTCTACAACTACCTGAAAGGCGGTTGTGGCGACGTGGGTGTTGGTCTCTTCTCCCAAGTAACTAGTGATAGGACGAGAGGAAATGGCCTCAAGTTGTGCCAGGGGAGGTTTAGATTGGATATTAGGAAAAATTTCTTCCCCGAGAGGGTGGTCAGACATTGGAACAGGCTGCCCAGGGGAGTCGCCATCTCTGGAAGTGTTCAAAAAACGTGTGGATGTGGCGCTTCAGGACATGGTTTAGGGTACATGGTGGTGCTGGATTAATGGTTGGACTTGATGATCTTGAAGGTCCTTTCCAACCTTAGCGATTCTGTGATTCTCTCTCCAAATTTTTAATTCAACCTTTAAAATCAGCATATTTTAAGCCTTTAAAATAGGCATGTTTGTCCCACCACATACAGGGCATGTTCTAAGTTTATCTTCTGTAATTATTAGTAAGACAGCAATCCTCAGGCAGGAGTTCAAACAGCTCATCTGGGCAATTTTGAGCACTCTGCATGGCTTTGCCTTCCCCAGAGCTGCCATTTACAAGAAGGGCATGGCCATTTGGGCTGCTGAGAAGCTGATTCATATTTTGTCTGGTATCTCACGGCATCCCTCTTTCAGCAGCATGGACACTGACCCATAAGAGTCTCCTGACTCCAGAGCAGCAAAGTCTGGAAGGGGGAATTCTTTAGAGGTTTTGTCATTGGAGGATGTTCTTCTCCCCCATCCTGCTGTTCAAGATCAGATGGACATGGGTAGGTGTGTTGGATATTTGGCCTCTAGGCTATTCCCAAAAAACTCCCTAAGAAGCAGGGATTCGTTCTCCAAGGCCATTTCAATGGACCCTCACCTTTATTGAGCGTCACATCCATGACAATTCTGTCCTTTGGGCCGGGTCCTTTGCGGCTGGAGGAGGAACCATCTGTCTCGTCAGGGCCGGGGACTGGTGTGCCACCACTGGCGCTGGAGCTGGGGGAGCTGGAGCGGCTCAGCAAGGTGGGAGTTGCGCAGGGTGTGAGGCTTGGGCTGCGCAGCCGCGTGCGCACCGTCAGGGTCACCACACCTTTCTTGAGTTGCTGGAGAGACATCAGGGAACCGCAGTAAGGTGACATGTTACACCAACATTTGTCAGTAAACACGCATACAGTCATTTGTGGCAGCAAAAGCATATAAGCCCAGAGTGCTAAATGGCACTGAATGAAGTGAAGCATGAATCTCTCTTGTAGTACATCCCTGTTACCTTAAACCTCTGAATGGCCTCCTGATGGGTCAGCCCTTGTAGAGACTCTCCATTAACTTCTAGGATTTCATCTCCTGGTAATCAAATACAAAAAATGAAGTCAGCAACATACACACTATATGCAAAAAACCCTTCCTGTACATAACGCAACCTGCTACTATGCAGATTCCAATTAACTACTCAGTAAAAAGCCTTTTACTGTTCTCAGTTTATTTTCACTTGTCCTAATGCCTTTAAAAGTTAGTAGTGATGAATTAGCAGAGCTAAGACTGTTCTTCAGAAAAGATCCGTTAATTGACATTCTCATACTAACAAACAAGCTGAAAACACCATGGATTTTAACTAACGTCTGAAAATAGATGGTCATAACATGAAGTCCAAAGGGACTGTAAAAATCCTTTTCTTTTGTGAGTATCAACAGGAGAAGTGAGAATCTAAATGAAACTCTAAAGCACATCACTCCAAAGTCTGTTCAGAGAAAACTAACCTTGCATCCACATGCAGAAAGCAAACATGTCCTCTTATTAAACACCTGTTTACGGAGAAACGAGTAGCCCATACACTGCAATAGCAAATGCCTTTCCCTAAGGGCATCTAACTAACAAGTCCTACCACATTTCTACCTGCTTCCAGGCGCTGGGTCTTACTACTTACACCCAGCTGTGACAATCCACCTTCATTTTATTAAAAGGAAGGCGAGCATGATCCAGATCCACTTCCTGCAATTTTACTTGCATCTGTGCAAAATTAGATGGGGCGATGTCATCACCCAAGTCTACCCCTCTTCTCCTTTCCTAGACCCCATAAAAAAACAAGTAGGCAAGCTTTGAATAGCCTGCAAAGGCTTGCTGGGTTTATGGGACAGCTGCTACTTATTGGCTTCCCATGGCAAGTGCACAGCCCATGCCGCAGGGATGCGAGCTTCCCTCTGGCAGCAAGTGTGAGAGCTGGCACCAAAAGCAGCCTCAAATACAACAAGTGTGATAAGATGGTATGAGAAGGAGAGAAGTAACACAGGAGCAGCTTTCTGTGGAAGAGGCAGCACAACCCCTGCAGAAGAGTTGTAAACCACCGCTCTAAACTCATGGTCACTTTGTACTTTCAACAGTGCGTAACAGTCTCTCTGTCTGGCATAGGAGCACTCAGACCAGAGTGCAAACATACACAGAGCAGGCTATATGTTCAGCTCAGAGACAAGACTGGAAAAACAGTAATAAAATCAGGATACTTCTCTAACCAGTTGGGTGATCTTACTGCCAATCCTATTCTTCCTCTTTTCTTTTCCTGGTTATGACTCTTACTTGTTGATTCATGTCAAAATCACAGCCTCTCCCAAGCATGTCCCTCTGTATAACCCCTTCCTGGACCAGCATCTTGAAGCCAGATGTTGGTTGGATAGATACATTTCACTGCTATCGGTGACCCTCTCCAACTGAAGGGCTGCAGTTTATGGCTTAGGCAAATAATGTTCACTGACAGTGAAGGGTGAAAAAAAAACCCCAAAACATCATGTTGTAGTTTCCCCTTCTCAATATGCAATGTAATCAACTTAACTGCTATGAATGATCTTCCCCAGGATGGATAAACAGGGTGTGTTACATCCTCCACAGCCTCCTGCTGATGGCCAGGTGCCTAAATAAAGCTGTACTTGAATTTTTCTGCTGGACTGAAATAATATCCCACTGTGGTCCTTTATATGCAGTTGGATTCTCTAACTACCGTACCTTCTTTAAGCCTTCCATCAGCAGCAGCTGCTCCATTTGGGAATATAGTCTTCACAAAAATCCCCATGCGTCCACGAGCAGAATCCTGACCTCCCACAATGCTGAATCCAAGACCCTACAGAAAAGGAAGGAGAAGACGCACAGCTGGCACCTTACTCTATTATCACCGATGCGAGAAAGACTTCTGATAACATACAAAACAAAGGGAAGATGATAACCTAATAGCTGCTGCTAAATTGCACTGCTATCTTACCCTCTGCTTGCACTTCCTGATTTACTTTCACCCTAGTATCAACACACATATCAGCCCAAAGGGTAGCAGCCGGCACCTTAAGCTAAAAGGTAAAAATGCTGGTTTAAGATGTATTTATTTTTTAAACACTGGGTCAATGGCTTTGTGTTACCCTATTCCTGTTTTTTGTTTCCATTTTAAAAACTGTAACGCATTGCTCTTAAATTGACAGACAGTAGATTCCCACCCCTGAGATCTATATCCAGGATTAAGTAGTTTTCGCTGCTGTCACAGATCTTGCATTTCCTCAGGAAAAAGAAAAGCTTAAGAACATGACAGAAGGTCAATGCTGTAATGTCAGGAATGTAGCTGGAAGGGGGCTGGCGTGGGGGGCCATGCACATATACATTTTTAATTGTTCTGGAGACATGTACCACGTTGTATTTAAATAAATCTAGATCAATACATTCCCCGGGGCTCCATCTGTTAGCTCTTGCCCCTGTGCTGCCTGGCTGGCTGCAAAACAGTCTTGTGAAGCTGATCAGGGAATGGATGAGCACAGCAGAACGAACCTCTCCCCTTTCTGCTGGGTTATTTCCCAGCCAAATCACTTCCTTGATCCATTCCCCCCCATATTTCTCCTCTTGTCACCACTGTACATGTATTTTATGGAATAAAGTGAAAAGTCACCGACCAGGTGGACAAGGGAAGTGGAAAACTGTTGTGCTTCAGTGATCTGAAGCCATGGTTATTATTAGCGCCTCGGGCAGCGCTCTCCAGCTGAGGGATGCTGCCAGGGCAGGCACGAACACTGTGTTTACAACCCAGTACAACAACCAGCTCTTTTGTTTTACTCCATGAATGTAAAGTAGACTACTTTTTATGAGCTTTTAGTAATTTGGTAAGACATTACTGATTTCTAGAAAGGAAGCATCCTAGCTCCTCCGTGCAACACAAAGTAACTCAACTGTTTTCTGGGCAATTATCAACACAAAGCAACCTACAGAAAGCAGGAGGCTCCTGGCATTTCCCGGCACGGACATAGCAGTTCTCCCCACGGCTCCACAGGGTGGGTTGGGAGAAATACAGCCGCAAAGCACAGCGGTTCCCATGTTAGCCCACCTTCCTGGAGAAGCGCTGCCACTCCATGGCTGAACATCACCCCTTGCAGATCTACCTAGAGATGAGAAACCAAGGGCACGCGCTTGGCTCCCAGCCACTAACACAGCGACCCTATGGAAACACTTTTCAGGTCCCAAGTTTGCATAGAGTTTAGTGACCTAAAGTCACAACCTAGGACTTGGCAGTGCTAGGTTAACAGTTGGACTTGACAATCTTAAAGCTCATTTCCAGGCTAAATGATTGTCTGATTCTATAATAAAGCAAATGCTACTGTACAAATTGTACGCAGCGCAATCCCTAACAGAGGTGATCACTCTAAAGGTGGGTTGAAGGCACTCAAAACGGCAGCTTTTTTAGGTGGTTCTTGATCACTAGAATCTGCATACTCCCAACTGCTTCCTAATGCCTTGAAGCTAACTGTGGAAAGGCAGGAGAGGGTGTTTATTCCACAGGGAGAAATAACCTAATTCTTACAAGAAAAATAGAGTAAAAAAAATAAGTTCATGAAAAATGAAGAAATATTCACTTGGAAATGTCATGAAAGACCTGAAGCTCCCAAATCAAGGAGAGTTATATCAACCATGAGTCCATCTACCCAGAGAAGTCACTATTTCTAACTCTTTGCTAAACTTAAAGCACAACATGGAATTTGTTTTGTATTTGAGCTTGAAAGTCAAAACAAGCCTTTTTAGTCCAAAGCCTATTTTTAGCATATTTAAATGACAGCTCCAATACTAGTGTGGATTGGATTAGGGAAAACAGTATACACCTGGGTTAATACTTGCCTATTATCCCTTAGTATTCAGCCAGCTGGTATCTAGCAAATGTGCAAACACACTACTGGGGGGAGAAAAAAGGACTCTGACCCAAAGAATTTCATTGTTCTCAGATAAGCAATCAACCAGGAACTTGTCTGTGGGTTTAACACTTAATTTGCAGTCATTTGCTTTTAATGTATCCAGATTCCACAGAGATAAAACATGCTTGTCCATAAATATGCAAGCAAACAGGTACTCTTCTGTAGCTGCATCAATTTTGCATAAACATACATATTTATAGATCCATTATTAATATTTGATATCTCAGTAATGACCAGATGCACCAAATGAGAATTGGTGCGTGGCACGAACACCACTTCGCCCGTATTTTGCAGGTGTAACTTTGGCATTTACATTTGAAAATGGGATTTGTTTATCATTATTGCTATTATTATTATAGGCTACCTGAGAGCTGCTGGAAGTCCTGGGCATCGGATACACCTCTTAAACGCCAGCTCTTGCTACATGTGAAAAACCAACCACATGCAGAAATCCTCACCTTGCCTTGCCCTTTCATCAGGACGATGTTGGAAATGATGGATGGCTGGGTCAGTCTCCATGGAGATTCCACTTGGGCAGCACTGAAGGAACGGGTGGATTTCTTCACAATATGGTATTCCTAACAAACATCAGCAAACAAGGGAAGTCACTCTGCTTGGCACAGACACTGGGATGTCATACCAGGAAAACTGCATGAAGGTGGAGGATATCTTACAGATACATTCAGAAAAATGTTCAAGGGATGAAATCCTAAAATCCTAGCTCATTACAGTCAAAGTGAATTTTGCCACAGTAATTTTCCTGCATTTCGCATTGTAGGGTCATTTTGTAATATACCAGTCACAATTTAAATTAAAAAGATTAAGGGTAGCCTCATGATATACTGAAGCCCTTATCCACTTAAAAAAAAAAGAAAGAAAGAAAAAAAGAAAAAAGTCTTTTTCTTTTTCTTTTTTGAAAGAGATGCAGGGTTTTTTTGTTTAATTCCTGAGATCTCTAGAACTCCAACTTGTAAGATCAGCCTTAGAACCTCCTGGCCTCAGCAAGAAGTAACCCCCTTCACCATCCTCAGAGTAAAGAAGTTCTCCGTAGGTGGCCAATGCATCCCATTTTGGTGTCCAGGCCTGGTTTCAGTCCTCATGATGTACCTCCATGGCCTTGCTTCACCACCCTTACTTCTATAAGCTCCAGACAGATCTTGAAGGACCAAGCAGAGAGAGGTGCTCAGGGACAGCCCTGCTTTTCCACCCACCTGCCTAGCTCCTGCTGACTCCAGCTGCTGGGGCAGAGAGTGCTTTCTTCCACCCCGGGAGTATTTCACCGCTATTTCATAATTCGATTCACCATTTTCCACTGTCAGCTCATCATCTTCTCCCACGGACTCCAAGCGGGATCCGGCACCTAGGGAAAAATAAAAGAAATATGTCTTGCAAACATCGCAGAGACACTTTATCCTCTTGGCAGCACGCAATAATCGCTCCTGCAAACCTCAACTTAAACAGTGCCTTAAAACAATGCTACCCAGTTCCCAGCCGGGCAGTTAGAAGCTAGTTTTGATCATTCTCAACTGAAAACTTTTCCTGCTGTCACAGGTTTTCTATGATCTTTCAGTGATGCTGAACTCCTTCGTGCTGTTGCTCATGGTAGTAAGGAAAAGCAGAAGATAATTGAGCCGGTAGCTTAGGGACAGCAAAGAAATTCAGCTGTTCTCACCCAATGGCACTTGCCAGTGCACTAAGCTCTCAGGCTTCATTTATTTAAAATTAAAAGACCTGACACCGTACCAGTATTCATTTCTAGAGGTGTCATGTCACTTTGAGGGAAATTCTTCTGGAATGGAAAAAGGAAAAATGTGCCAAATAAATGCTATTTTCCTTCCTTCTGGCAGCGATCCTAGTTGTCTTAAAGAGGAGAAGAGTGTAGAGTTCACATAAGAAACAGAATTATTTGTCTTGAAGGACGTCCTGTAGTTACCTGCAGAGTACCCTGCTCCTCGCAGCAGGGCTCCTCCAATTCTCATTTTCTGCAAGGTCCCCACAGGACCCACAGAGACAGCAGTTCCTGCACATGTATCCTTGCCATTTCCCCCACCATGCAGGGAAGGGACATTAACCCCTATTTTACAGATGAAAACCCAAGACACAGTCAGGCCAAAGTTGCACAACCTGGATTTCATGATGTTATTTTAAGATTACTTTAAAACAAGGCTAAGCTGGAGCTGCCACAGAAAGTGGCAGGCACTCCCTCCCGGGCAGCTCTTCTCTCCTTTCATCCTCACTGCCCTGTCCTTACCCTGGTGATGGGGTTCACAAGCCCTGGGGTGAGGTAGGCCTGCTGCAAACGTGCCCAGGAGAGCCCCAAACCTGTCGTCTGCCACCTCCTCCTTGCCCGGAGGCTGTGCAAGCATTGCTGCCAGCGCCAGGGAGGGATGGAGCACAGAGCTGGGGCAGCCGCTTGTTTTCACTTGGCATTACAGCAATTCTCCTGCCACATCCACAGGCAAAATTTGTACCTACTGCCCAGAGTGTAATTTAAACCCGCTCTCTGCTTTGGGGTGTGAAATCACCTCTGGGTTTAAAGCTCCCCTTCCCTGGGTACGCAGGGCTCCGCGGCTGCACACAGCCAGGACAGCTATGTTGGCAGAACCCGGCATCCTGGTACTTCTTTCACTCCCAAACCCTCCTGGCACCAACAACTAATCCCTTCCCATGACCTCTCCCTCTCTTTTTCTATAAGAACAGTTATATTCCTGTGTTTCTGCCCATTTCTGAATGCAGCTTCCCTTCCCACGCTGCAGCCCAGGCTTGGGACCAGGCTCGGGGATGCTCCGGGCTCAACCACAGCCCAGGGGCATCAGCGCTCATGGGAACCAGGGCTGGATTCCCAGTGAGCCACCAACACACAGCCACAGGGGTACAGGCAGAGGACCTCCCTGGAGGATGCTTAGAACACCTGAGTAAATGGAAATTAAGGTGAACATAGTGAGGAGGGAGACTTGGAGAGTATTAGGGATGAGAATGAGACAGAGCTCTGCACACAGGTTACTGTTAAGACTTGGGGACAAAACAACAGAAAATCTGGGGAGTCTTCACCACAATGGGTGTTTTGGGGATGGCATGTTGAAACATGTCTCCCATCTCAGTATTAGAGCACACTGAACCATATAGGGAATATAAATGTTAAAAAAAGAGAAGGAGAGGGAGGGGAGAGGGAGAGGGGAGGGAGAGGGGAGGGAGAGGAGAAGGAGAGGAGGAGAGGAGAAGGAGAGGAGAAGGAGAGGAGAGGACAAAAAAAAGGAAAAGAAAGAAGCTTCAAAAATTTTGCTTCATCTTTCTGTCCATACAATAGTTTAACTTGAGGCTGAATGGAAACATTTTACAGCTGGGATTTTCCTTCCAAATTAAACTAACATGATCTCCAAAGGAAAGAAAACCTATCTCCCTTTTAGAGCTAAAATAAACACATAGCATAAAAATCTTACTATTGCTATCTTTTATCAACCCAGATTTACCTTGGGATCGACTTCTGTATTTCAGTATGCCACTTCCCAGAGTTGGACTCTGGTTGTTTCCTTTGGACACTTCTGCACAAGCTGGATCTTGAGACTTCTCTGTTTCCATCACCTAAAAAATTAAAAAAATAAAAAAACCCCAAAAACTTATTTACTTGTAAACCAGAGAAATTGAAGGAATTCCTCTCATTTTTACTAAGGGACAAAAATTCCACTGCACATCACCTTTTTTTTTCAAAACATGTCATTGTATTAAACCAGCAGACGTTTCTGTAAGTAATTTTCAGCAATGCCTTTGGACATTATTGCAAATCTTACCGATGGGTACATTTACAGCCCAGTATCGCCAGGGATCCTCTGCAGGGTACCATATTAACTGCCCCAGAGTGCCTCCAACATCCACAGCACCTTGTTCAGGTGCTTCCACAAGCATTTAACAAAATTTTAACATAGATGTTACTGCAGTTTGTTCAGCTCAGCAAGCTTCCAGAGACATCACGTCTTTACAGAGGAAACCGCTTCGAGAAAGTGTTATTTTACTGTTGTGTCTGGAGCTGAATGCCGATGCATAATGGATGAAAAGCTAACTTAACAGAAAGTTATGAAGATTACACAGCTAAGCACTTAAAAGCCTGGAAATGCTCAACTTAAACTTACACGTGGACTTGTGACCCCGCCACCCTGAGTAAATGCATCGAGACTGGAGGTGTCTGTTTACCCACCTCGTTTGCCTAGAGGCAGGTGACCATACAAGGTGACGATGTACAGCAGCATGGCCACATGCACCCTGCGTCCTGCTTCCACATGGTCTGAGTGCAAAGACTCTACTCAACCCATGCGTTGTGGAAGACCCTGGTGACACCCTTCTCCACTCACTGCTTCCTTTACCAAGCTACAGCAGTCACATTTTCCTAGATGTGCCACTACACAGCAATCCTCAACACGCTCCCCAGCACACGCTAATTCTTTTGTATTTTCACCCCATCACCCGTCATGCACCCTCTGTGCAATTATTCAGAGAGCTCATGGCAAGGATAACAAAATTTCCTGTACAACTACTTACTGGTTGCATTATACTTTTAATGTACTATATAAACTGCTGGAAGTCAGTTTAAAAAAAAAATTCCCACCCAAATTACCACACATTCTTAATGTTAAAGTGTTTTCTACTTCCACTATTCAAGCTTAAAAATAGCAGGATTTTCCTAAGAACCTGCCTGCCATCCCCCAGTCTCTCTAATCCCAAACCAAGAAAGCCAAAATTTATCTTTTGCACAGTCTAGACTTTGTGATTTCAGTTCAAAGGGTAAAAACTTTAGGAAAATATGAAACTGGCAGATAACAGGAAACTGGAATGGAAGCTGCTTTTTATGCCTCCCCCTTCAACAATGAACAGCTACATATAGTTTACACATAGTTTGCACATCCTAGCTGGTTCTTGTTGATTGTTCAAGGCACTGCAGCACCTACTTCAGAGTCCACTTCTAGTATCAAATGCTTTGCAGCTCACAGCTCCATGTAATAGGATTCATCTAAAGAAGCAAATAACTACATCAGTCTGAAAAAAACAGTGCTTACAATTTGGCCATCTTAACAAGGGACTCATTACAGAAAAGACGTAAGAAATCAAATTAAAAAACTCACCCAGGAGACCCGAACCATCAGTGACTGGGCTACAGCCAAAGTATCACTATCTCTCCCCGTGACCTCCTTGAGAGAATACCCAGAAGACAGCAAAACCCTTTAGTAGTGAGCTAGGACTTGATGGATCACACAAAGTTACATTGAATTTTACCAGAGAAGCGAAAATACCCTTTGTAAGTGGGAATGCCTCCCCTGTATAAAGGTAAGTATCAGTTGCGCAAACACACAAAAAATCACAGAGCTTGTAGTTTTAAAGGTGTAAAAAACAATCAATACTTGGGAGCTGGTATTAACTCTGTGGTGGAGAAATAATTGAAGCAGGAAAACAAGGGGGGATGCCTAACCAAAGCAGCCAGTTGTGTCAGCATGCTGTTTAACTGTCCTAACAGACAGGGATGGGTCCAACCTCACTTTTCTGGAGCTGATGACAATCCAGTTCGGGTCCGGAGAGGCAGAGCTGTTTTGTTTCTGCAGAGTGCATGGACACGGGCAGTCACACCTGATGAGACTACACAACTCCCAGTCCAAAGCTGGACCACGTCCTCCAGTTCAGAGTACGAGGAAAAGAAATGGGGTAGTCTGCAGCGGCATACAGACAGATGCTGAAATCACCACTGCCACGGACAAGTCCCACACTGAGCCCGCGCTCAAGATTGACCCATTGGGTACATCTTGTGTTTCTAGTACATGGAGTTTGGGTTTTGTTTGGAGCTTTTTTGCTTTTATTTATTTTGACTGTGCAGCAGAAGCAACTACAGATACATTCTGCAATTACATACATTTGCATCTAGGGGAGTGAGAGGAAGAACAGGAGACAATTACCACTCACATTAAAACAGTGCACCCCGTCCCTTCACCTCATCACTGCGCAATCCTGGAGGCTGTGAACCTGCAGACAGCAAACCCCCAAACACCACCACGTATGATCCGTAGAAGCGCATGTGTGTACAAATGCCAATGCCAGGGAAAGCCTCAAGACATTCTCAGCGGCTTCCTGAAACTACATTTTATCCAACTTGGCTTCAGACTACAATAAGAAGTAAAAACATGTAAGTTACCTATGGCTGTGTTTAGTTCTTATTTTAGCAAAAATACTTTTCTGACACTAATTATAAACATGTAGGAGAAGACACTCTAGCATTTGCAATGAAGTATATATTCTTTAAGTGTTGATCTTGTCTAATAAACCACCAAGAGTTTTACCCTACTCAGAAAACACTTAGGAATCCAATCCACAAAGGCTGCAACTCCCCGAAGTCATGTGTCTGTAATCTTTGGCTCTCTCATAACTTGACAAGAAAAAAAAACAGTTCCACCTTATCCTTCTGGCCACATACCACTTTACTGTCTGGAGGTGGCTGCCTGGATTTAACTATGCCATTTTAATATTTTCCTCAATTTCAAGGAAACAGAGCTTATTATTTCAGTTCTGTACGCCTCTTATTAAACTAAACCAATAAATCCTGCCCAACGCCCTCTCGGTGTTAAGGACAAGGGGAGCTTTAATACGCACTGTAGTTTGAAAGGAGATCTAAAAATAGAGCCCATTTTGCCAGTTCATTAAGTAGCTCCAGGATCAAGTGATGGTGACATCTCAATTGATTTCAAAGGAAACGGCGCTATCACGGACACGCGGTCCTGGCACCGCACCAGAACGAACAACTGCCCCCAGAGCCCTCGCTCAGGCAAAGCTCCAGCGTGACCAGCCCCTTAATTAGGCGAGATGAGGAGCAGGATTATAAGAGTCTGCATTGTTTAACCGCAAACAGCTTGGCAATCGTCGCCGATCTACAAAAACAAGGCGGCACACAGGGGATGATACAATTTAATAAGCAAACTGCTTTACTGCTGCCGTTGCGGACTCCCTAAGCTGCCGCCTTTCCCAGCAGCGAGCCCATCCGACCCCTCGGCACAGCCCGCCGGCTCTCTCTGCCGAGGAGCCCTAGCAGCACGTAGACAAGTTTAACCTGGTCGTTAGGGAGTGAAACAGTGAGAATTAGGCTGAGCTGTCTGCGGCACGCCAAATTCAGCCCTACCTGCACTGGCAAAGTCACACCAGCAAGTCCACTGCCCTCCTTTAGAACAGCAGTGTGAAAGAGGAACGGCTGTGCCCTTGCACAAGCTCCACGGGATAACTCCTCATCTTCTTCAGTCCTGACGCAGCCAGAATAGTGTTTCCTTAGGCAGCACTACCCCAAACATATTTAATCATGAAACACCCCAATGCTGCTGTCTGTGGGGCAGCCGGCAGGATGAGCCCCATGAGTCTCCAAGAGCAGCTAGCACCAGCCCCTTCGGAGAAGGGTGCGGAGCACCCGATGCAAACCTGGCTTCACCCGCTCCCTGCACAGTCTTTCTTCCTAGTCCCTCGAGACTAGCTGAAGTCTTGGAGGCTTCAGCCTTTCCAAAAGTTTTGGAGATTTTCTTCGAAGACCTATTATAATATTCTAGTTGTTCCAGTCATTTGTGCAATTATTTATTGCTTTCTGGAGCACAGCATGCTTTAAGCTTCAAATGTACCCTGTAGGCAGGGGCTCCACAGGACCCTTCCCCTGCACTGAAAGGAAAATACCTTCACTTTCAAATTAGCTCTCTTTCAATTTAACTGAATCCATCTCCCAGATAAATTACAAACTGTAGCACTGTAATTTACCAGAATTAACATTGCAAATGATGCAGAGGACATGGATTTTCTAATCTTGGCCAGCACTGAGTATTCTATGGCTTACTGCTCTGTTTTAGGGCAAGCACAAAGCTGCCTGGATGTTGGAAAGAGCTGGATGAGCCAGGATGCACAGCACCAGGGGCTGCAGCACCCAGAGGCACCCTTCCGAAACACAGCACCTCCCAAGGCCCAGGTAGCACCCTCAGCTGAAACAAATTAAACCCAGATTTAATTGTTTCAGGAGCAAGCTACAGGACTTTACGATTTTGTGACTCTCCTCTTACAAAGGGTATTGCTGCTCCTCTCTGTCATGGTACAAACGCAGAGATCCAAATAGAGCCAGGGATGGAAGAAAAGAGGAGAAACATCACCTCCATGTCAGCAGTAACTCAGTGCCTCAACTGGCATCTTAGAAAAAAATGGTGTCCCAGTTTCTCCTCCCCAGCACGAAGCTCCCAGGGCAAACAGCAGCTCTCCGTGTTGGCCAGGGCAGGCTCAGATTTGGTTATATTTAGCACCACCGGTGAAACAAAGCACCAGCCACCTTCCCCAGCAGCTTGCCTGGGAATTACCCGTGCTGGTATCACCGGGTGCAGCCTGTGCTTCCTCCTGCTCAGGCAAAGGGGATGCGAACCTGAGGCCTTCATTACCTAATTATAAAGAAAGTGTTAGAAAACTCGCGGTTCATGTGCAGCAGGGGATCAGGAAATCTGATAAACAGTCAAGAACTGGAGCTGCCCTGTTTTCTGAATAGGTGGAAATGCCAAATAAACAAAACAAAAGCCTTTAAAGTGGTCTCTAAG